TAAATATAGTTTCTATAATTTTACTAACATAATATTTTTTCAAAGAATCAAAAATCCACCTTATGAATATGTAGCATCTCACTTTATATTTTAAATATGTCTATAGTAGTTTACCATAGTAGCTATAACAAATTTTCACAAACTGAGTCACTTAAAACATCATTAATTTAGTTTTAAAGTTCTGGAGGTCAGAAATCCAAAATCATTTTCACTGTTCCAAAGTCAAAGTGTTGGCAGATTGCTTCTTTTTGTAGGCTCCAAAAAGAACGTTTCCTTGTTTTTTTCATCTCCTAATGGCTTCCTATATTCCTTGACTTATAGACCCTTCTTCCATCTCCAACATACACCATTCCAATTTCTCCCCTCCAAGTACTAACCAGGTACAACTCTGCTCAGCTTCCAAGATTGGGTGTGTTCAGGGTGGTATGGCCACAGACTATCACTCCAATTTCTCTTCCCATGATCACATCACCCTCACCTCTGACACTGGCCACTATTTGTCTTTCATAATGACCAGGCCTACATCCACTTACAGACACACACACACACATGTACCTGTTTCAAGGTATTTTCTCTTGTGAAAGCTCTTCTGCCATATAAGGTGGTATATTAGTCAGCTTTCCTATATCTAGGAAAAAATGCCTAACACCCATAATTTAGAGAAGGAGAGTTTAATTCAGCTCATTGTTTCAGAGGGTTAGTCCATGCTCAGTAGCTCCATGACAAAGACATCATGAAGGAACGGCATTATAGAAAAAAAGCTGCTCATGTCATGGTGGCCAAGAAGCAAAGCACAGCAGAAAACTTCCAACTACACAAATACTGTTCAAAGGCAAATGCCAAATGACTCATGTCTTCCAACCCTCCCATACCTCCTACCAGCATATTCAGCTATGAATATCAGTGGATTAGTCTACTGATGAGTATAATGCCCCCATGATACAGTCACTTCTCCAGGAGTCTCTCAATCAGGTCAATTTGACAATTAAGATTAACTGGTATGAATCCACCACTTGTCACTTTGACATTTAACTACATCTTCTTAAAGCATACTTAAACTTCAAGTGAACACAATAATAAGTTAATAATCACAAATGACATCATGTTTGTGTTTTGTGTATGACCAAAAACACAATAATCCCTTCCCCAAAGTCTCAACAGTTCTAATGTTGTTCAAAAGTCTAAGTCCAAAGTGTTCTCTGAGACTCACAGCAAACACTTAGCTGTGAACCTACATCTTCTTAAAGCATACTTAAACTTCAAGTGAACACAATAATAAGTTAATAATCACAAATGACATCATGTTACTGTTTTGTGTATGACCAAAAACACAATAATCCCTTCCCCAAAGTCTCAACAGTTCTAATGTTGTTCAAAAGTCTAAGTCCAAAGTGTTCTCTGAGACTCACAGCAAACACTTAGCTGTGAACCTCTATAAAATTCAAAAGCAAGTTACATAATCACAAGATACAGTGGAATGGTGCAAACATTCCAATTCCAAAAGGGAGGAATGGGGAAACAGGCAAGAATCAGACCAAAGCAAAGCAAACCCCAGTAGGACAAATACTAAAGCACTGCATCCAGCATCTGGGTCACACTGTGTAAGATGTGAGTTCCTAAGGGCTTGGATAGTCCCCAAGATGGATAGAGACTTTTTGATTGCAACTCAGATGGTCTCTATTTTTGGTTGTTTCCACTCACTGTATCCATCATTCAAAGATGATTCATGTTCCTGGTATCTCTGACTTCCTGGGGTCTCCACTGGGCCTCTGGCTTCATTCCCAAAGTTTCACACACCACTTAGGAGCATATTGCTTGTTTTTCCAGGCCTTCTTTGAAACCTAGGTAGAAACCTCCGTGACCCCCTGGGCAATATTTGCATTCTGCATGTCTGAAAAAAATCAAGGTCAGTGCCAACATCTTGGACAATGCCAAGGTCTTCCACCAGCTCAAGCAGTTCAGGAATTCTTGGACCACAGGTACTCAGGCCTCTAAGTGCCCAGATGGCTCAGCATGGTGAAATGAATCCTGGGAAACCAGCTTCCTTGGTGATCCTCCTCAAATATGGGTCCCAGGGACTCTCTTTTCAAACACAAGTTTAACAATTCTTCACCCTTGGACCTACACTGGGTGCAGACTTGCTCATTCCTGAAATGCCCTCATGACATCTTTCTTCTCATTGCCTTTCATAGTACTTGGTGTATCTTTAATGGTGCTAAAGGTCTTAAGCAAACTCACATTTTGCTTCAAATTCATATTATTCATTTTAGGCAAAAATTTAAGTTTTTCAAGTTTTTCGCTCCAATTTTTGCTCCATAGTCTCAATTTAAATGTAGATAGAAGCAGCCAGAAGTATCCATGCCACACCCTGAACCTTAGGTTGCCTTGAAATTTCTACTGCTAAATCTGATCCTTAATTCTTAAACCCAGCCTTCAACTAGGAAAAATGTAGACACACTTTTTTTCTTTAAATGTAATATTCAAGGCATCTAGTCTAATGACCAAGAATCCTTGTTACCATATGAAAATAAGCCTGGCCTTTACTCTCCACAATCATATCAGCATTCTTGTCTTCTGAGTTCTGACCAGAATCTCCCATCAGGGACTGCATATAGCATTTTAGGCTTTTTCTAATCTGCTTCAAACTGTTCCAAACTCCTCTCTCAAACCAGTTGTAAAAAGCCTCTGAACCACATGGTCAGGTGTAATTACAGCAACAATCCCACTCTCAGCAGTAATTTTCTGTATTAGCTTTTGCATTGGTAGGCCAAAATACCTGAAACCCACAACTTAAAGGAAGAGAGGTTTAATCTGGCTCCCAATTTCAGAGGTTTAGTCCATGGTTTCCAGCTCAGAGTCAGAGACATCATAATGTCTCAAACTACTCACTTTATGGTGGTAGGGAAGAAGAGCACAGGTAAAGGGTTACAGTAAGAGATATACTCTTAAAAGCCATGCTCCAAATGATTCATCTCTTCCAACTGAGCCCCACCTTCTAATAGATCATTCAGCTGTGAATATCAGTGGGTTAAGCCACTGATGAGTATAGAGCCCCACATGAGTATAGTAAGAGTCCAGGAGTTTCTTAATGCAATCAGTGTGACAATAAGTTTAACTGATACAGGTAATATTCACAGATTCTGGAGATTGGGATGTGAACTTATACAGATAGTCATTATTTAGTAACATGCTACAATGTGTATGAATGTTTTTGTTGCTGCTGAAATAAATTGACAGAAATTTACTATTTCAGTATAACATATATTTAAATTCTAACATAGATCTTCATGCACTAAAAACAAAGTGCTAGAGCTTTAGGAAAGAATGCATTCCCTTGCTTCTAGAGGCTCCCCATATTCATTGACAGGTAGCTTCCTTTCCATTTAAATCCACAGTAAATCTCTTTTTTACTTCCTTCCATAGTCACATCTCCCTCCAATATAGCAAAGAAAGTTTAGGGCCTCAAAAACGATCAAGCTGGGGGATGGGGATTTAGCTCAGTGGTTCTGGTGCCTGTCTTGCAAGCACAATGGAGCGAGTTTGATCCCCGGTACCAAAAATACAACAACAATAAAAAACTAAATCTGTTTACCATTCCTTTGGGGCCAGGGACTTAGCTCAGCGGTTCGGTGGCCTGCCTTGCAAGTGCAAGGACCCGAGTTTAATCCCTGGTACCAAGTTGGAACCCACTCAAATAATCAGATAATCTCCCCACTTCAAAGCACTCAACTTTAACCACACCTGTATAATTTTACTTGCTATGTAGGGTATTCACAAGTTCCCAAAATTAAAATATGGACATCTTGAAAGGACCATTACTCGTCATCACAATGTTATTAAAATGCTGTATTTAAATAAAATTTCTAAATGCCAAATGCTATTGAACTGTACAAGTTTAAAAGTTTAAAAAGTTTAAAAAAAACTTCTAAGTTTTATGGTGAGTTTTCTTAATACAAGTCAAGCTTTTAAAATTATTTTCTAACTTTAAAGTACAGGTTTAATATTTATAAATTTTTCCCTTTTTTCAGTATTTTGCTTATAATTAGTGTCTAGGAGTAGCTAGAAATCTTAGCATAGGAAAGCAATATATAGTCTATGGTTTAGATTTCACCTTGATTTTGACAATTTAAAAAATTTAAAGTAAAATGTTGATAGTACTGTTGAATTGAATAGAACAGATAGTTATAATCAGTACTATTTTATTTCGTCTCTCTCTCTCTAAAAACTGTTAATGATCAAAGGTAATTAAGACACTGGATGCATTTCCAGATGTTCACTGGATATCTATATTCTGTCTCTTCTAATTTTAGCTTGAACATTCTCTCAGAGGTCCACGTGTAAAGGCTTGATCCCCAGGGTGGTGCTATTCAGACCAGGTCTTTAGGTCATTAATGATATGCTCTTGAATGGACTGTGAGATTTTGGCTCCCAAACAATGGGGCCAATAAATTATGGATGGGAACCTTCAAAGCTGTGAGCAATAATAAGCCTCATTTTTCAGTTTATTACTGTAGGTATTTTGTTATAATGACAGAAAGCTGACCAACACAATGACAGTGGAGAAATGGCCATACATGACTATAACTCTAAATTTATGCAGTTTTTGAAGTTATTAAAACTTTTCTCAGCAGTCAGCTATGTTTCTCAGATTTGGAAATCATTTTCAAGAACTGTTTCCTTTTTCTCTAACTATTGATATAGTACTTTCTTACAGGATTCACACTTGGCTTTATAAACAAGAAATTACCAAGCAACAACCTCAACTTGAAAATGACTCTGATAAAAGTACTTCCTTTGCAAAAAGACCTAAATCTTTTACTTAAATCATTGTGAACAAAATTAAAGTTATGCTTTAGAGTAAAGTAGTATAGACTATTTAATGGTGTTACTATATCTTTGCTTCTAATCTCTTGTTATGTTCTTTTCAGTTTTCTTGGTGTGGGATTTCATTATGTTGCTATGCTAGTTTTCAATTCCTGGGCTCAAATGATCCTTCTGGCTCAGATTTCTAAGCAGCTGAGAGTATAGGCATGAGTCACCACACCAGGCTTCATGTCATATTCTTGAACTCTCATTTTTCTCTCTTCATGACAGGAAAAACTTATGGTACGCTGAACCTCTGTGAAAGTAGATGAAGAAATGTATGATGACATTGAATAATTCTTGAAAATACTTGAAAAATATTTCTTACCTAAAAAATGTTTTCAATCAATTCCTGTTTTTTAAAAAATAAATGAGCCCATTTTTTAAAACCGAGTATGAAATTCTGATCTCCAATAACGACACTTCTATGTCACATTTTTGATGAAAAAATGTTGCCTTGCCAAAAATTCCCTTATAAGCATCATACAACCCTTTAGACTAACACTGAATTAAAAATAGGCATGGCAAGATTAATGTTTCAAAAATTTTTATAAGTAATTTTATCATTCCTACATTCCTTTATTAAAGAATTACCTTTAATTGTCTATTGTCTTTTTTTTTTTTTTTTACATTTCAGGAATATCTGTAGTGGAATGGAATCAGCAAACAGATAAATTCTTGAGTTATATAACAATACAGATTTGAAAGAACACTCTCAGTATTATCTTCTTAGCTCTTAACATGTGAAAAATCCTACTACCTTACAATCCAGGTTTTTGTAGCACATGTCTGTAATCCCAGCATTCTTGGAAGTTGAGGCAAGAGGATTGCAAATCCCAGGACCTTGTATCAGAATAAAAAAATAAAAAGGGCTAGAGATGTAGCTCAGTGTGAAGGTCCTGGGTTCAATCCCAATATTGGAAAAAAAATGACTACTTGTGAAGTAAAAATCACTTTAAAATATATTTAGATAGGTGAAAATGATTCATGCTCTAAAATAAATTGTTCAAATCAAATTGCAAATGTACCACAATAATTACACACATACAATATAGGTATGAATTGACATAAATAATTCAAATACTGAATTACATCTCACTTGAAAATTAATAAAAGTTGAATTCTATTTTGTTAACGATGACTATGTATACATGACTAGAAATGAACAGTGTCCATTTTGTGGTAAAGCTTTGCAATGAATAAGTCAGACTAATTATTTTTGAGTGATTTGAGCTTTTATTACTGAAATCCAATATATTATTAAGATGCCTAGCTAGACTCTCCTGATAATAGACCAAGGTGAGGCTTCAGCGCACACAAAGCAGCTGAAGCAGAATTGACAGTGGCACACAAAACCCAGTATGCTAATCTGCAACAAAGAAGCAAGGCCCACAAAGGGCCAAGATGGCAGAAAATCTAAAAAGAGTGCCGCACTTCAGTAACAAGATTTTCTATGAGCTCATTAATATTTACCAAAGCCACGAGAGCTGTCTTTTTCTTTCATTTAGCCACACATATCCCCTTAAAGTTATTTCTATATTGAGACAGCATTAGAAAAATAAACTACGCATATAAAAGAAGCCTCAAATGAAAGACAAGCAGCTTTTAAGATAAGCCTTCTTTCAGTGTGAGCATCTGCACCCAGAAGACCATTTACACAAATTAGCATATTTTATCTACTGTAAAAAAACACGAAATAATTCATATATTCAAGATAGTTTAAATTACTATTAGGGAATGCTCCAGCATTATTAGTACACCCACAAAAATACAAGTTCTGATAATGAAGGCAAAGATTTGCTACTTAAAAGAAAAGCAGTGGGAAAGATGTTTTCCAATTGTAAGGAGTGTTTACTTGAATTTAGTAGGGTGATCAAGAAGTAAGTGCTGGAACGCGAAGACCTGGATTTGAATTGTGTAGCTAATATTAGCTGTGCAAATACAGTATTGGGTGAATTATGTCAACTTTCTGAGCTTCAGATTTTCCATCTGTAAAGTGACTCAAAAGATCTGTCTTGTGTGGTTTTGAGATTTTTAAGAGTGTAGGATCAAAATTCTTAATACAAGACATGGCCCATTCAAAGCCTTCAATAAATGCTGAAGGCTTTTTTATATTATTTGTATAATTACAGTATATATGAGGAGAATTTTAGAGACTACAGGTAATATAAAACTTATCCATCATCTCACTACCTTGAGAGAAAAATTATCACCAATTGGTGCATAATCTTTGAGTTCTGTCTTTCTAGTGAGGATAAAATTGTGTGCATGAATTCTAAATTTTTATTTTATGGATATAGAATTCTATTTTACACATCATTATTTGGTTCTGCTATCCCTATCCTCCTTATAATGTATGCTATTAATACATTTCTATATTACTATTATTTACAAATTCATTTAAACTGCTTAAAATATGTCATTGCATAGATGTATCACAATATTTGGGACATATGCAAAATTAAGTCAGTGTAAACAACATGCCATGTATGTGTCAGGCAAAAAATATTTGTATACATCCTTAATTTTTACTTAACCTGTACTATTCAAACTAAAATCTCACAAAAATATTACAAATTTTTACTTCTTTTAACCTGAACATATTTATGTCTATAGATCTTACCTTTTTCTAATTTCTAACATTTGATTTTAGGCCAGATAATACATGCGTTTGTCTCACAAGTTTTTTTTAAAAAAATAAAGAACAGATAGTTTAAAATCTTGTCCTCATTCCTGTATCCTATTTATGCCCTTTCCACTTCATTCACCACACAGGTAACATTGTCATTATTATAGATATAGACTTTTAGATTTAATCTGTGAATATATAACTATGGACAAATATAATCATTTGACCCATTTTTCCATAAAGAGTAGTATACACTATACACCATGGTATATTTTGCCTTTTCTACTTGAGTTATTTATACATCAGTACTTAATGAGATTTTTCATTCTTTTTTCTTACAGTTGCATAATATTGCATCAAAGTTTTGTATAGTGAGAGTTCTAGAAGTAAAATTATGAGGTCAAGGGTTGGAATAATGTTGAGACTATTGGTTCATATTGTTAAAATATTGTTCTCCAAATGCCACACCAATTTAGAATTCCAACAAATATGAACAAGTGATGGTGCATAGCTCACAAGGTATACCTAATTCATCATTACTCTATAGTATTGTAATTATGACTTAAATGTTTTATAGATTTTTAAGTGAGATAATATATTTTATTGATTCCATTTGTATATTTTTCATAATTAGTGATGTTGATCTTTTTAGATACTTATTGACAGTTTACACTTATTTAGAAAATTATGCAGTTTTGTCCTTTTCTTGAATTTCTATTGACATATTTGTATTTTCCATCTCATTTTCCAAAAGCATGCTCTGTATTAAGTTTGAGAATTTCTTAAAAGTTAATTCTGTCTCTTTTAATTTCATTTTGGTGTTTAAATTATTTTAAATTGGCTGAAGGGGATATTTCCTTTGAAGTATGTTGATAATTTGCAAAAATAGAAGACTTAAGGATCTGCGAGGTGAATTCCTTCACATATGAATTTAGGCATTCACTTCAAATGTATCAAATACCAGTGTGTGCCATGGATTGTTGTAGGTATTATGGAGGAGAAATAAGTTTAAGCCTTCAAGGAACTTAGATTTCAATAAGGGAAATTTGAAGGAGGGGAAGAAGCTAGAGATAGTAATGAGTTGGTTGAATTTTATTTTGTTTAGTTTTTACATAGGGTAGGAGGAATTGAAGATATACATTTTAAAATGTATTCATTAGACCATATTGAAGCTTAAGAGCAGCATTTATTCTATTACTAAAGTTGTGTTTTGACCAGAAAGGAGTTATTCTTTTTGAGTTTTGCCATTCATGTACTAACCTGTATAATATTTTAAAAATTATTTTGTCTTTAATTTTATTTTGTCTTTTATAAATGTTTACTTGGCTTTCAGAAAACTGACTAAATACAGTTCTACAATTCCAAAAAACAATTAAATTCAGGCCTAAATTTTAACCTTGATTAAAGAAAGGAAACAACAATTAATATGCATATAAATAAATAGAAACTCAAAGTAGTTTCCCAGTAGTTCAGAAACATATAGCACCCATTCTCAGTATCAGAAGTAAAACAACCAGGTATATGTAGGAGAGTAACAACAACTAACTTCTAATTTTTTTATTTTCCATTTATATCATGCAAGTCACAACCTTTCTGTACCTTAGTTTCCTCATAGTCAAAGAAAAAATACTATTTTACAGAGTTGTCATGATGATAAAGTAAGAATTTCCAGGTAAAACTTGTGTTTCTGAAAGTGAACTGCTATTCCATGTTTTCAGAAAAAGCGAATGTAAAATGCAGATGTCAAACAAATATTTTACCTTACCCAAGTTGCTTGTGATTAGGTTTCATGCTTTTGCTCAGGTTCTATTACATTATGCTACTGTCTTTCTCTATTCACTATTTTATTATCAATTTCTCATTCACCTTCACTGTTTTCTTTGGCATTTAAATTATTATTAATCATAAAATATTTTCAATGCACAATTAAGCAATACAGATTGTCCTATGAATTTGATTAAAAACCCATGCAAGTTACAGGTTGTTGGAGGGAAATGGTCCAAATCACCTCTATATATCCCTCTGCTAGCCCCACAAAAGCATTGTGGGAATAGTACAAAATATAAAGGATGCAAACTGGAGAAATATTATACTTATTGTTCTTTAAAAAACATATTCAATGCTGATAATATATAAACATTATGTATTTTTGTAGTCAAATGACATGCATCTGAAACTTCAATGTCAAATACAGGAAGGGCCACTTTAGTTCAAGTAGTGTGTTAAAGTTTTTATTATAAAGATGCAGCAAGAAAAAAATGTACCCACTTCCATAAGAAAGTAGACATAAAAATTTCCCCTGAAAGTTTGAGTCATTATGGCATAATACAAACTGAAATTCAATTTCAATTATTCTCAAGTGTGGCTATGCTCTGTCTTTTATTCTTCTATTTGGTGAAATGACAGCCTTAGTAATTGAATATTAATTTCCTCAAAAAGGCATTCCAAAAGCTTCTTCAAAGAGGGAATTAAACTTATTAATTCATTCTATGAGAGGACAAAGTGCAGAACTTGCTGTATACAGAATAAAAAATCCTAGGGGCCAAGAAGATTTAATCAAGGATTGAAGGAGAAGAAAAAGTGAATGGGCCAGAAGGCAGAAAAATGTGAGAAGGTCACTCAGTTTTTCAAGAGTGGTGGTAGAGTATCTTTTTTACGCCTCAGCCAAAGTGAAGTAACAAAGCAATCAGAAGTACAAATTCCTCCTGAGATAGTGGCTAAAACACTGATTTTCCTGTATAATGCCGCTATAATTTCTGGTACAGTTCCAAAGCAAAGTTTTATGTTTTATGATATTGTCGACTTTAAGAGTACTTATGCTCTTTCTAACTTACATGGCCTTTGAGACACTATTGATTTCTCCATCTTCATAAATCCGAAAATACTCTCTGCCTTCCTAATAGATCCCTTACATTTATTAGTGTCTATCCTATAACAGCAGTTCAAGGTTGGAGTTATGAAAACATCTTGGGACTCATTTACCACAACAAAAGTCACTAAAGATTAAAGATAACATTTGTGTAAGAAATACTAGTAACACCTGCCCCCATATACACGCACTTTATTTTTTTCTAATAGATGTTATATTGGAAAATTAAAAAGCGGCTCACACTGCAGTCCCCTCAAAAATGCCTAAAAACTCTTTATCTACCCATAGTCTTGGTCATAAAATTTCCTTTTCTGTCAGAACAGTGATTCTCAAAAAAAAAACCAAGAAGACTGCTGCATTCTTATACCCCCTTTTCCATTCAACATGTTAAGATACTATGTTAGGAAGCCTCTGGAATACACCATATATTTTTTTAAAAAATGAGAGTAAAAAGAGGCAAACACCTCCTTAATATTTTTATGAAAATAAATGTTGACCTCATAGAACACTGAAAAGACCTTGGAACCACTAGAGTTCCAACATGATCACAGCACAGTTGTGTTTCCTCCTAACTCCAACATACATCTCTTTATACCATGGCTTTCAAGGGCACCTTCATGGCGCTAAACTCATCACTTCTCTAATGTCAAGGACTAATCATTACTATTTTTTTAATACAGGGTCTCACTATGTAGTCCAGGGTGGCTCCAAACTCACAATCCTCCACATTAACCTCCCAACTGCTGGGATTACAAGTGTGTGCCATCATGCCCAAGTTTATTTTTCTATTTCTCTTACTGGATTCAAGTATGTCCTACAAGGCGATGAATAGAGAATAGCTACTAAAATTATAGAAAACAATACTTTTGATTGACAGTGTGTATGTATACCTAGTCTGGGTAGTGTACAGATAATTTCTATTCTGTTAGAGTTTACCCTAGAAAATTTAATATGCATACTTAACTTACTAATATTTAGAGTTAATCTGAATCTTTCTCCTGAAAATAAAGATCTCTTTAAGATATTTTCTTCTCTTTTCAATGAAATTGAAAGAGAAGCTATACTTCCAAATTCATTCCTGGAAGCAAGTATCACTCTGATTCCCAAACCAGAGAAAGATACAACCAAAAAGGAGAACTACAGACCAATCTCCTTAATGAATATAGATGCAAAAATCCTTAATAAGATACTAGCAAACAGAATACAGAGGATTATTAAGAAGATCATCCATCATGACCAAGTCGGATTTATTCCAGAGATGCAAGGGTGGTTCAACATACGAAAGTCAGTGAATGTAATACATTATATTAACAAAGTCAAGGACAAAAACCATATGATCCTCTCAATAGATGCAGAAAAAGCATTT